TAGAAGATTGTTTATCAGTCAGTTTATAAAGAAATTGTTGTACAGTTTAGCTAATGATCAAGAGATAGTAGAAAAAGGAGTAGAAAGAGATTTCTTTCTTTTTTTAAAAAAACACCTTATTGTATTTTTGGTGAAAGGGTATACAACAAAACAGACTCCCACGCAATGTCTACATACATCATGTTTAGGGACATTGTTTCAACTTTCTCACTAGTTCTATGCTAGTCGTTCCACTCCCATTTAGTCTCACTGTCCCCCAAACTTATCTGTGCTTTAGGGTCTCCCAAAGCAGTACTAACATCCCCTGGGTGGGTGGCTAAATTGACCCAGGGGACCGCAAAAGTAGCTAACTACACTTTGCCCTGGATTATGAGCTGCAGTGTGAAAACAGTTAAATGCTGGGAGGAGGAGGGGGGCACTCAGTAATCCTACCTGGTCCCCTCATAGGGAGCAGTAGGCCAAGCAAGTTCAGGAACCTATGCTTTAGAGTAACTGTCGTCTGTTTGGTCTCATATAGATATTCTTAAAAGAGCACAACGGTCAAGGGTGAGATCATTGACTTTTTGAGATAATCTATTTAGTTAAAATTCATAAGGTTTGCAGTGGCTAATTCCTCAGAACTGGACAGCCCATTCCTTCCATGTAGTCTGTTCTTAGTTTGGAAGCTCTGCTGAAACCTGTTCAGCTTGGGTGAGCCTGCTGGTTTTCAAAACTGTGGTGACATAGCTTCCAGAACATGCAAGCCATCACTGTATGGAAAATTGACATTCTACCACTTTGAGAGGTAGTAGATGATTAAGAACCAATGGCACTGAAGGAAGAAGGCCAAACTGTACAGAAAGCATTAACAAAAATCAAGGTTCCAGAAACTGGTGGACTACTAATCAAAATGTTTCAACAAAATCATGCAGCCCTCACTAATCTATGCCAGAAATGTGGAAGACAGCTACCTCAATAGCTAACTGGAGAGATCCAGATCAATTCCAAGGAAAAGTGACTCAGATGGCAGAAATTACTAAAAAGTATCATCAGTATCACATGCAAGCAACATTTTGCTGAAGGTAATTCAACAATGGTTACATCAGCACATTGACAAGGAATTTCCAGAAATCTAAGCTGGATTCAGAAGTGGATGTGGAACAAGGGATATCACTGCTGACATCAGAAGGATCTTGGCTGAAAGCATTGTGGTTAGTCTTGGTACATTAGAGAAACAAATCCACAGAAACTCATATGGAT